CTGTGTGAGGCCACTTTTTAGATTCCGAAACCAAAATGTGGTTCTTTTGGACTCAAAGAATCAAAATATGTGGGGAAAAAAACTGGTGATCATAATATATATAACGCTCTTTTAAAATGCGCTATACCTTAACGGCCATTTGCCCAGTTAAGTATAGCGCCCTTATTTAAGGCGCTATATATATAACGCCCTAACATACCGCGCTATATATATTATGTGGCCCACCAATAATTCTTCTGGGCTTAACCATGACAATAATTCAACTAGGTATAGCACTCATATTTAAGGCACTATACCTCAAATAATTGTACCCCCGGACTGGTTTTTGCCTTATTTAAAGAGGTTAAGGATTTTGTAAAAATCCATCCATAAATATTCTCAAGTCTTCTGAAATATTTCTTCGTTAAGTTAATTTGCATTTTGTCATAATGTCTGAAGAGCGAAGAATTAGGGTTTCATTATATTGCGGGGGAGGGGGTGTGAGGTTGTGGTGGCGAATAACTCAGTAAGCTATAGTTTATCTCCGCAGTGTCATGTTAAGTTGCCACTTATAATGGAGTACGATACATTGGTATTGTTATTATGTAAAAAATGAGTGTGAGCAAATATTCGGTGAATATTAAAGTAACCGGAAGATATCCGTATTCTGTCACTCCGCAAGGGGTTGCTTGTTATGCTGAGTTTAACATCGAAGATGATGAAACTCTGAAAGATTTTTTGAGGACTCCGGATGAATACCGGAAATTTCTTGTGATAAAAATGTTGGAAATGTACGTTAAGGCTGAAGATGTTCGCAATAATGAGGTTGCGCAAAGTAGGGATATCCCTCAGTCATCGGGTGATTATTTTGGAGCAGTTTTAGCCAAACAGGTTCCGGATGAAAGAGTTTGGCCTGATCTAAACTTATCTCCACAGGCGAATGAGGAGCGAGGAAATAATTTCTCCCCTAGTTTACATAATTCACAAGCCGAGTGGTAAACTTCAATTTTCCTTTGTGTTACGATGTTTATTTTTATGTATTGAATTTGTATTAACACTCATATATTCCACAGGGGGTACCAGCCAGATATGAATTTTACAAGTTATGAACCAATGCCCAGTTGGAATATGCCTAGTTTTGGTGTGTTGGATCATGGTAGTCCATCTGGAAGTCATCACCAGTAGGACAATGTCCATCATGGGATATCAACACATTATGATTTGTAAGTGAAGTGATAAAGCTATATGTAAAGTTTGGATCAATTTGAGTAACTCATTATTTTGTTGGTTGTGCAGTGAAAACGAGCAATTTGAAGGTCATGTCCTTACTCAATTGCCCGAAGGCGACATATTTAATCGGGATCTGGCAGATGCGCAGAGTCAGGAAGAGAATAGTGATTATGACAACAATGCCTATAAGTCTGGAGATGACACACCTTTCCCTGATGAGGGTGATGATGAGGAGGAAGAGAATGCTGAACCTGATTTGACGAGGGAGCATGCTCCACCCCCGTTAGACTAAGAGTGTACGAGTCCCACGTGCCGTTTCATTCAAGGGAGATTCCCTACCTTGATCACTTGCCAAGTATGCTGGATATGGATGCCCTCACAAGGGATATTGACGAAATTCGGACAGCAATGTGGGATGAATCTAGAGTAACGGTGCTGTCAAAGGGCATGCTTTTTTCTGATAAAGCACGCCTAAGAAGGGCGGTACGAATGTACAATGTAAAAAAGTGTCGTGAGATCACGGTAGCAGAGTCATCTCCGGATGTATACAAGGTTATTTGCCGTAGATGGTTTACGGGTTGTAATTGGATGTTGCGTGCGAGAAAGAAGAAAACAAATATGTGGGTTGTGGGCAAATACATTGGCATCCACAATTGTGAAATGGACACATTTAGTGGGAATCATTTTAACTTGAATGTTGACTTGATTTCTCCTGTCTTGATTCCATACATTGAAGCGTCCATAAGGTACAAGATCAAAGAGTGTATAACATTTGTCCACCAGGAATATGGGTGTTCCATTACCAAAAGAAAGGCATTTCTCGGGCGCAAACATGCGTTTGAAATTATTTATGGTAGCTGGGATAAGTCCTCTGCATCTCTACCCAGGTACATGGCCGCATTGTAACACTTTAACCCCGGGACTGTTGTTGAATGGAAGCTTGAGCGGAGTCTGGGAATACCAGAACATATATTCAGATATGTGTTATGGGCATTTAAACCAGCAATTGATGGTTTTGTGCATTGTTGGCCGGTAATATCCATAGACGACACTCATGTCTATGAAAAGTATGATATTAAGTTGTTGATCGCCGTTGCAGTAGATGCTAATGGAAGTATATTTCCCCTAGCTTTTGCTATTTGTGCCAATGAAAGCCAAGAGGCGTGGACACTATTTTTGAACCACTTGAAGGAGCACGTTGTCAGACAACGTTCAGGTATATGTCTAATATCTGATCGACATGACGGTAATTTAAGTTCTGTATAGAATTTGCCTGCATGGCAGGAACCGTATGCCTACCAGCGTCATTGTATGAGGCACCTGAAGGACAATTTCTAAAAGGCACATCCCAACAAGGATTTGTATGATTTAATGTGGATGGCTGCAACAGATCACCAAGAGTGTAAATTCAGGGGGGGCATGGAATCGATCAGGCATGAAGACCAAGGAGCCTATCGTTGGTTGATGCGACATAAGCTTGACAAGTGGACTTTGCATGCGGATGGTGGTAGAAGATGGGGAATTCTGACGGGAATTCTGACTACAAATGTGTCAGAGTCTTTCAACGGGTTATTGAAGTCTGCACGTGGATTGCCTGTCACTGCCATGGTGCGGATGTCATTCAAGCAGATGGCGGAGAGGTTTGTTGAAAGAGCTAGAGGTGCATCGTCATTGATGGAAAGGGGTGTTGAATTTATGCCAATACCAATGAAAAGATTTGAGAAATACAGGAAGCGAGCTTATTGGCATTCATATTTACAGTATTGCAACGAGCGAAATATTTTTGAAATTCGCACCGCTATCCATCAAAACTGGGGGGAATAATGCACACACCGTAAATAAAGCCAGAAGGTTATGCTCTTGTGGGAAATTGTCCATCTATCACATGCCGTGCTCACATGCCATAAAGTGCTTTCAACACAACAGGTTTCGCGGCAACCGGCTACGTTGATAAAGAATATAGTGTTGCTGCACACTTAAACACCTATAGTGGTCAGTTCCAGCCAGTGGGTACTGAGCATTATTGGCCGCCGGAACCATTTAAAATGGTGTGTAAGAAGGAGTATTTGCGTCAACGATAAGTGTAAAAAAGAATGCGTATACGAAACCAAATGGATGTTGGTGATACCGTTTATGCGCGTAAATGTGGCATATGCTCGCAAACAGGACACGATCGTCGTAAATGTCCTTCATCTGGTTTGGGTAGCGATAGTAATTCAGCTCCCGGTGGAAGTTCATGCAATGTACCCAATTATCAAGGATACCCGTAGTGTTGTATTTCAATAATTTGTTGTAATAAGTGTATGTACATGTTCATCTTGAAGAATGTATGAAATAAAATTATATTTCAATTGGTGTTAAGTCTTATTGATATTTAGCATTAATACTTCAGTACAACAATTTAACATACACCCCAAGAAAAAAAAATAATTGTCATTCGCCATTATCGTCGTTGTCTAGCACTATTTCATTGTCACTGTCTTCATCTTCTCCGTCAACATCGTATACGTACCCTTTGGGACCGAGGGCATCGTAATCTAGGCCCCAGTTGACACATATTTCTCGCATTTCATCGCTATCATCAAGAAAATCACTTGCTTGATTTCTACAACAATATGAGACTCCTACGTCCAACGTCTATGGTAGAAACTTAGGTAGTCCCTCCCACTCGACAACTGTTGGGAAAACAGGATAATCATTGTCTCTATGCATTTTATCATTTTCTAATAAATCCCAGTACCGAGCCTCCATTCCTCCCAGGAAGTTAAGATCATCCATTGCATGATGAACAGCTAGAGCCTTTTCCATCTCTAGAATCTCCTTCATCAAATGTCGAATCACTTTTGGTTCATCTTTGTGTGTGTTTGTTTGGAAGGTTGCAGACAGTGCTTGTGGCACAATAAGCCCATGCCAGCGACATAGTACTTCGAAATCACACCGTTTTGAGTAAAGGGGAACCCATTATAGTTTTTTGCCCCAAATTCGCATACCTTCAGGCTTTGTAGAATGCGCTTCGCCCTCAATAATGTGGCCTGCAACTTTGAGATCAGTGTGTATATTGATAGGCTTATTTTTCAAGGTACGTAGAACACCGTACCACTTGTCATCAACTAAGTCAGTGTAGCAACCTAGTATATTTTTTTCAAGGTAGGGATCGATAGTGTTAAGACGTGTTCCATGGGGATCTGTTGAACTACCTTCACCCTTTTGCCTCTTTTTGAACCACTTGTTAATTGTTAGTGACACTTTTTAAATGGATGTTGTAATGTTTATTCAAAAGGTCTTTGAAATACAGATGACTTGGTTCAGTTTAAGAAGATGTTTTATACCCGAAAGAATCATTATCACGTGAATCATAGCGCGGTAAAATACCACGTTATGTGTATTGTCTTGTCGACCTGAAAAAGCTGAAGGGGAAGGGATGATTATTTATGTACGTATAGCGCCTTAGGTAAGGGTGTTATACTATAGCGCCTTAAGTTAGCACGCTATATCTTCCCCGTTTGCGTTCAAATATAGCGCCTTAAATAAGGGCGTTATACTTAACTGGGCAAACGACCGTTAAGTTATAGCGCCTTTTAAAAGGACATTATATATATTATGGTCACCAATTTTTTTTCCCACACATTTTGGTTCTTTGAGTCCAAAAGAACCACATTTTGGTTCCGGACTCGACTTTTTATCTCTCAACAAAAAATTTTCACGCTTCCATAATCGAAAAATGGCATTCCGTAATTTTCTCAAACAGGGAACCCGTTACTGAGTCAACTCCCTTTATATACCCGACCAAACTCTTCTTTCAATCCTTCCCAAATTCCGATCTATTTTTCTCCCCCGTTTCTCTCCTTCTCCGGCACCCTGACAGAAAATCATGGCAGAGAAATCGATTGCTTTCGAGTCAAATCACTCCGGACCAATCACCGACAACACTCACGGATGGCAAAAGGTTACATACGCGAAAAAGCAGAAGAAAAAGCAGGCAAAACCGTCGGATTCCGGCAAAGTAATTGCCAACGGATCTGTTGTTCCTGGCGTCGATAATGTGTTTCAGTCGCTCGAGAAGCACTCCGATGAACGCCGCAAGAGAATTGCGGCACAGACGGCTGCGATGTACGGCGTTGACGATGCTCCGGTTATATTGGGGCTGAAACACCGTTCGGACGATGAAAATGAGGATAGCGATGCGGAAGGTGGTAGACGTGGTGCGGTGGAGGAGAAGAAGAAGGAGAAGGTGAAAAAGCCGAAGAAGCCAAAAGTAACTGTGGCTGAAGCCGCTGTGAAGATCGATGCAGCTGATCTAGCTGCTTTTCTCGCTGATGTGACTGTAAGGGGACAAATCTATATCTATTTGTGCATGATTTCGTTTTTCCATTCATAAACGCCACGTGTTGATTTTTTTGGGTGTCTTTATTTGAAGGTTTCGTATGAATCTCAGCAAGAAATACAATTGATGCGATTTGCGGATTACTTTGGACGTGCATTTGCTGCGGTGGCTGGTTCACAATTTCCGTGGTTGAAATTGTTCAGGGAGTCTCCGATCAGTAAAATTGCAGATGTGAGTTTCATCGATTTTTGAAGTTCATGATCAAATTTGAGAACTTTTGCAAGAAACAGTTGGTTTTTCCCCGCCAAATTGCTATGTTGGTGTCTTGAATAAATGTTTGGATATGCATTGTGGTGTATGGAGATACTACTTAGAATTGTCGATATACATTGAAATGCTTGCTTTGTTCTCTCTGCCTCTTTGTATTTTGGACGCCTCCAAATGTTTGAAATTATGACACTAATAAAATGTAGTTAATACGAATTTCCCAAGCTTTAAGACTTCAAATGACTAATCAAACCCAACTTTATGTTAAATTTTTCTATCAATTTAAGTTTTCTGTTATTGCTTTAATATTTTTCTTCCACACCTACTTATTTAGTTCTAATATCTTAAACTGCATTCAAAGGTGTGACCTAACTGTCAATGAAATTGGAATGAAGACCATGAGAGACCAGGGTTTGAATTGTAGCTAAGCAAAAAGTTGGGTGATTTCTTTCAATTTGCCTAAGCCTTTGTGGATTAGATTTGTTGATACCTGTACTAGTGGGAGGATGCAAGTATGGATATACGAGTTGCGGGCAAGTTTGCCAGGGTACCACCGTTATTAAGAAAATTGTAATGTCATAAACTCCACGTGTAGTCACAAGGTGCTGTGGAAAAACCAAAGTACTCCCTCTATTTCAGTTTTTGTGTATTACTTTTCTTTATTAAACTGTTTAAAGAGTATGCCTATTTTAGTAACTATTTAATTCGAACATTTCGATTTTACCCTTAACAACACTTCCTTGTAGGCATGACATGGCATGTTTAAAACCACAAGATTCAAATGGCATTTTGAGTATGTTATACACATCTTAGTTTAATAAGACAGAAGATTCAAAAGTTCTTACTCTCTTAAACCTCCGTGCTAAGTCAAATTAAGACACATAAAATGAAATGGAGGGAGTATTAATTTGTAACATTTGGCATAGCATTTCATTGAATTTACCAAGTTGTTGATCATTTATATACTTAACACTATAGACTTTTGATTTCTTTTGTCACTGGTCCCTGAATTTTTGTCTTTGAGCTCTATGTTACCAAGTGAAGTGCTATATTATTCCTCATGAAGTTTCTGACAATGATAATGCTTTCGTGCTTTCAATATGATGATTACAACCTTTCGTTTCATCTATGACAGAAATTTGGCTGCATATACAAATTTTCTATACATATTCCTCTTTTCTGCTTTAAGATTTTGATGATGTGCTTTTTTTGTCATTCATTCATGTAACACCAGCTAGGTTCCGCTGGCATTCTTGATGTATCTCGATGCAGGGAACTCGGCTTACATTTAAGCTTTCTTTGTTGGTCATCTAGTTGTCAGTCAAGGGCTTGTATCTCTCCCTTAGATCGACACCCAATACATGATGGATAGCAAATGCGCTTTGCTGCTCCTTAAATCGATGACTTTTGTCACCCTCTATGGATGATGCTGACTACATAATTGGTGTATGATGTGATGAACAGTGAACTATATGTTTCTTTGCCTTTAGATATGCAGTTTCAAATATTGTGCACAGAGTGATAGTTGCTTTCAATTATTTAGCTGGCACCATACGTGGCTGGAAGAGTAATAACTTGATTTACAACAAACAGATTCCTCTCTCACATCTTCCTGAGCCAGTTTATAAGACTTCAGTGGATTGGATCAACCAACGTTCTTACGAGGCTCTTGGATCATTTGTGTTGTGGGCATTGGACAGTATTGTTGTAGACTTGGCAACCCAACTAGGGGGTTCTAAGGGCTCCAAGAAAGGCGGTCAACAAACGTCGTCAAAATCTCAGGTATCTAAAGATTTTCTTTCAGTTTGTGCGTGGATGAGTTCTCTGTGAGTTTATGTGTCTATTCATTAAAGTAGAAGCCTTCAGGCTTTAGAAAGGGGTGCATCTATTTTTATTTGTTTGCGTCTTCTTGGATTAAAGCAAAAGGTAAAGCGGGAATCCTGGGAGGAAAGGGAAGAGGGAAAGATTAAATCAGTTTGGTGAGAGAAATACTAGGAATACTGCATCTTATCTATATTCACTTTTGAAGGGGAGCCTTGGCGTAACTGGTAAAGTTGCTGCCATGTGACCAGGAGGTCACGAGTTCAAACCGTGGAAACAGCCTCTTGCAGAAATGCAGGGTAAGCTTAGTGTACCGTGCTGCCCTTAACTATTAGGTTTTAGAGTTAGGAAGATGCCAAATGGGGTGAAGGAGAGAATGAAATTACTCTGCCTTAAAAATGTGGATGTAACTCTCAAAGTCATAATTTTAGAGTCATGGTGACACAAGTAATTTCTTTTATCTTATTCTTTAGTTCATCCTTCCTTTTTGGATTTTATCCGACGTGTTGATCTTATCATTTGAGCATATTTCTCGATTGAGATAAGGTCCCGTAAGGATGAAATTGATCAAACCAAGCACTCGAGTCGAAAATGAAAGAATAACTGCAGCTAGTTTTTAGATTGATGGGGCATGACTTAAAATGCCAAGATTAAGCCATGTCCTGATTTGACATTTTAGTTGAACTAAAGTAAGTCAAATTATTTATTGATGCCAAGACTAAGACATGTCCTGATTTGACATATAGTTGAACTTAAATAAGTCTTAGCTAAGATTAGCAGGACAATACGCTCACAATAACTGAGTACAGTTTCTTTGGCATTATTGTTGTAATCAACCCAATTGCCATGTCATGCTTTGTTTGCATGATATCTTGACTTCCTCGGAAGATTTCCTTTTAAAACCTTAACATCATGCCAGTGCTGTCAAAGGCTCATTTAATGCTTAAGCCCTGAAGCTCAAGGAGGGCGCTTCGCCTCACTTAAGTTGCATTTCATCGTATGCAAGGCACTAAGGTGTGTGCCTTACTGCGCATGAGTTCGATCTTGAATCGAGGGGTAATAAACAACAAATATAATTAGCAAACAAGTGCACTAGCAGTTGAGGAAAACATTATGAATGAGCTTTTTTCATTTTTCTTGAATTATGTTTATATTTATATTTTTCCCTTCATTGCGCCTTTTTCACAAAAGCCCACACTTCATGCGCTTTGCGCTTAAAGCCCCAATAGACCCGGAGTGTTTTTTATAGCTTTTCTTGACAACAATGCATCATGCGCTCATAGTTGTGCTACAAATTACTAAATTGCAGGTTGCCATGTTTCTGGTGTTGGCAATGGTACTACGACGGAAGCCTGATGTTTTGATCAACGTACTGCCGACGCTTCGGGAAAGCCCAAAGTATCAAGGGCAAGACAAACTTTCAGTCGTTGCATGGATGATAGTCCAGGTTATACAGAGCTACAGTTTTTAACAGAACTACTGTTTGTTTATTCTCCACCTTATATTGGCCTTCTGACGGTAACACGTAATACTCTGATAAAGGCCTGTCAGGGAGATCTCTGCGTTGGATTGTACTTGTGGGCGCATCATACCTTGCCTTTAGTTGGAGGGAAATCAGGTTCTAATCCACAGACCAGGGACTTGATTCTGCAGTTGGTAGAAAGGTCTGTAACTTTTCATTGCACCTCTTGGTTGCATTTTCGTTGCATTCACTTGATACAAGCTTCTTGAATTATATCGTTGTGGTTCAGGAATCTCTCTGCACCAAAAGCTCGTACAATTTTAGTAAATGGGGCTGTTAGGAAGGGAGAGCGTCTGATGCCACCTTCATCCCTTGACCTGCTTCTACGGGTGACCTTCCCAGCTCCCTCTGCACGAGTCAAGGTGTGATTGAGCGTTTCTCTGACTTCTGTTCCCATTAGTATTGGTCGGATTTTTCTTCTCTAATGTCTTAGTTATTTCTATTTTCAGGCTACTGAAAGGTTTGAGGCAGTATATCCCATCCTCAAGGAGGTTGCCCTTGCTGGTTCCCCAGGAAGCAAAGCAATGAAGCAAGTTTCACAACAGATACTTTCACTAGCTATTAAAGCAGTTGCAGAAGGTATCTTTTACTTGAATTCTTTTCTCTGGTTCGGTTCATCTTGGGGTGGCAATTTGAGCCCAAACCCATTTGACCCGCCTAAGGTTGGGCTGGTCATTGACCCACCCATTAGTTAAACTCAACCCATCTTGACCCAATCCATTTCAGCCCATCTAAAGTTGAGCTGATTTTTAGCCCAAATTCATCCACGAGTAACTTTGCTAAAATATATTTAAAATAATTATTTTTGTTTGATATGTTATATATGACCATAACAAAAGAAAAAAAAAGTCTTATTTGATAATTAAACAATTCATAAGAATACNGTCCTAGCAACCTCTGTCCTACTTAGAGCCCGTTTGGCCGAGCTGCTAAAAACTGCTTATTTTGAGAAGTATTTTTGTTCAAAAGTGCTTTTCGAAAAAGTACTTTTGGAGAATAGCAGTTTGTGTTTGGCCAATTCATTAAGAATTGCTTTTTGCAATATTTAATAGTCAAATTGTGTTTGGCAAATTCTTCCAAAAAGTACTTATGGATGTCAAATTACAAAAAAGACGGTATCAATGTTAATTTTACAATTAATATTATTTAAAAGAGAAAACGAAATTTAAATATTTATTGTAAAAGAATTTAATTTAATTTTTATATTTATTTAAATAAATATAAAAAAAACACTATCTGTTAGGTAGTATTGCATTCTTTCAACTATAATATATGCATGTACGCCAAAAAGAAATAGAAATAAAACTACAAACTAGAGTTCATATAATATTGGTATACTACAAATGAAAAAAGGAAATCATATCTTGTGAAGAGAGTGTTTGAATCTAGTGATTAGCCTTGTAAATTATTTCAAAGAGGAATAGGAGACGAGGAAAAGAAGAAACGACAGAATAAAAAAAAAGAGATTTATTTATAGTAGAAAGACTATTCCAAAGACGATAGGAGAACATAGGCGTATCCAGGATTTTAATAGCATGGATGCACCATTATATTTATCTAGATTAGATAAATATATGATTTGACAATATAATTTTTTTACGATGACCAAAGTTGACGAGAAAACTCTAGTTAATATTATTATAGCATTATGTATGTCCTCGACGAGTTTTCATACTTCGAAAACTATCAATAATAACATCATTACTTACCGTTTTAAATATCTTATGTTATATATAGCAAGCTAAAAAGCATTAAAAAATTCTTCATCCATCCTATTATATACATCTTTTTATATACTTCTATTTCTTTGTAGATGTGTGATTTGCATTATTATTAGTTTTTTTTATTATAGTAGGAGTTTAAGATTAATTTTATTATCTTTTTTTTGGTACTTCATTTCTTGACAAAATATAAACTTTTTTGAGAGCTTAACCTTTCATTTTTGAAGTTCTCTTTTTCAGCGAACACTTACAAACTACTATTATCATTGATAATCTTCAAGAGAAAAAGATGGGATCAATATCACATTTCATGAGATATATTGGTGAAAGTTTTCTTTTTAAAAAATAACTTAAGGCCGAGTAACCAAGAAAGAAAAGAAAACAATAAAGATACCAAAGCATTTTTAATTAAAAAGTCTAAGGGAGCAAGCAGGGATCGAACCCCTGATCTTGGGGGTGAAGGTGCACTCATTGGCTGTTGAGAGTATGGGTTCACACATGCTTATTCAAGAACAAAATCAGAAAAATACAAGTGCTACACATAGTTTATGGAGGGGAGAATGGGTTCACGTGAACCCACCCATGCCACATAGATCTGCCCCTGTAGAAGGATGATTAAAATAACAATTACAACAAACCCAGTGAAATCCCACAAGTGGGGTTTGGGGAGGGTAGAGTGTACGCAAACCTTATTCCTACCTTATGACGGTAGAGAGGTTGTTTTCGAAAGACCCTCGACTCAAGAGAAGTGAAAATGAAACAATAAACAGACAATAGCAACAAGGTAATAAGACACACAACCCTAATCTTCGACCTCCACACCCTCCTATCGAAGGTCATGTCCTCGGTAAGCTGAAGTAGCGCCATGTCCTGGCATATCATCTTACCCAGTACTTCTTAGTTCTTAGGCCTCCCTCTACCCTTCCTCTTATCCGCCATGGTCAGCCTCTCACACCTCCTAACCGGGGCACCAGGGTCTCTCCTCTTCACATGCCCGAACCATCACCACCTCGATTCCCGCAACTTATCTTCTACAGGAGCCACGCTCACCTTGTCCTTAATATACTCATTTCTAATCTTATCTTTCCTGGTATGCCCACACATCCATCTCAACATCCTCATTTTCGCTACTCTCAACTTTTGGACATGAGATTTCTTGACTGGCCAACACTCGGCTCGATACAACATGGACGGTCTAACTACCGCTTTATAAAACTTGCCCTTAAGTCTATGTGGCACATTCTTGTCACACAAAACACCAGAAGCGAGCCTCCATTTCATTCATTTCGCTCCAATACAATGTGCGACATGCTCGTCGATCTCCCCGTTAACCTGTATCACAAACCCAAGATATTTGAAACTATCTCTCCTGGGATGTCTTGTGTATCAAGCTTCACGTCCACTTTTGCTTCATGAGCCCCAACACTAAACTTACACTCCAAGTATTCTGTCTTCGTCCTGCTTAACTTGAAACCTTTAGACTCCAGGGTTTGTTTCTACACCTCTAGCCTAGCATTAGCCCCACAACACGTCTTGTCAATCAATACTATGTCATCTGCAAATAATATACATCATGACACCTCTCCTTGAATGTGTCGCGTCAACACATCTATCGCCAGGGCAAATAAAAATGGACTAAGAGCTGATCCTTGATGCAACCCCATCACCAATGGGAAATAATCCGAGTCTCCTCCCACATCCTCACCCGAGTCTTAGTTCCATCATACATGTCCTTAATCACCCTAATGTATGCTACCGGAACACCGTTAATCTCCAAAAATCTCCATAAAACCTCCCTAGGGACTTTATCGTTTTTCTAAGTCAATAAACATCATACGCAAATCCTTCTTCCTTTCCCTATAGTGCTCCATCAACCAAGGGGGATAAAAATATGCTGAAATAAAAAGGAGAAGAAAGAGTTGGTCTAAACAAAAAAGAAAAAGGAAAAGGTTAATTTGAAAAATATAAATTCATGGCAAGGATATTTTTATCTTGGAAAAATTAGTTTTCTACTTCTGCTTCTTTGAAGAAGTTAGAATTTGTAGTTTCTTCCCATAAGCAGATAAATTGCTTCTGCCGCTGCTCAAAAGCGTTTTTTTGTTCCGGCCAAACACCTCAAATTTCAAAAAAAGTACTTTTTTGGCCTTCCAGAAGTTTGTCCAAACAGGCTCTTAGTCCCAGCAATATCAGAATCATGGGACATCTAATAGTGGTCAGTTGATTGTTGTTTTTTATTCTGGCAGGTTGGCGGGTGTGTGGGGTTACATCTACTTGCCATAGTTGTTGCTAGTTTACATTTGCTTCAAACTGATCCAAGTCAGAATTTCTGTTCTTGGGAGATTTCTTACCTCTCAACGTGACTTCCCCCCCCTCGTTTTTTCTTGTAGAATGAGAAATCATTAACTGGTGCAGTGGATGCTCACCAGTCACACTTCAGAGATGCAGATAGGTACTGTAAAATTTTGCTATCAAGGCTGTCTCATGGACATGGATGTCTGAAAGGATTTGCCCTTGTTCTTTTGGCCGTGGCCGTGGGAGGTGCTATTATGTCACAAAACATGGAGGACTGGGATTGGGACAAGCTCTCAGTTTTGCTCAATGCCACACAGTCCTTCTAAGCGATCTGCACCAAATGAGACGTACACGGAGTGTTCTTTTTTAACAATTCATGGTCTCAGCGGCAAATGAAATTGGTTTACAAAACTAAATAAATTTGGAAGATTGGGTAGCTACATGAAACACAAGTCTTGTGGGATACTGAGCCGGAGCTTTGGAGAAATCAGGATACTTATTTTCCAGAAAAAGATGAGTCATGTTTAATTTATTTGACCCGTCTATTATTAGTCTAAGCGGTATTCAACTTAGATGTTACTCAGTTTTCACCATTTTTAAGTTCAAGCAAATTGATCATACCAGAATACAGATGTAATTCCAAGGGATATGATAGAATCCAAACGAATCCAATCCCTGCAAAAATATTTACTTTGGTTGAGTATTATAACTTATTTGCATGTGACAGTGACAACTTACAGTTTGTTCTATTTATTTTCCCTTTTGTCAATTAACTGCTTATAAGGATGTTTTTGCTTACTACTTTCAGAAGTATGCTAATGTTTTCGATTTTTGTCCTATTGAACTTTTTCTTGCTTTCTTTGGGAAATTCAAAAATTTATTTCCAGTTATACCCTAAGTTGGAAAGTACTATTCAATTGATCTGCAGCACAAAAGAAGTGTTAATGATCTGTCTTCTAAAGGTATTCTTAAAGTTGAAAGAGCTACACTTGAGACAGTTTTCAACGAGTCCAGAACCAAAGTAACATAAAATACATGTCGACACATCTTGAAGAATTAAATTAACGTGCAAACAAAGGAAAAATAATTATATAGTGCATGCTTGATTGGGTATTGCGCATGCCTATCGTGCGGTATACTTGTCCATCCTTATAATGCCCCAAGGTTCATTGGTCTATCTTCTTTAACTTCTCTTTCATTTTTTCTCTTCTTTAACTTCATCTTCGATTAGTTATGTTTAATGCTTCACAAAGTTCAATGCATTTCATAGAATGCCATATTTGCCAGGGTAGAGATTACTGTATGTTGAGGACTTCAACAACTGATTTGTAGGATATAAGTACTCAATATCGTCATCTAATAGATAATCTTCTTTTGCTAGGAGATTTCTTCTTTCAGCTAATGTCAAATTCCTAGCAGTTGATCCTGCTTGTTCCTCACCCAAGTTGAGCATGTTGAACCGACTGCTCTTAATAACATTGGATTGTTCTCTTTTCTAATCCTTTATCACAACCTCGCATGATTCTCGATCAATTCGTGGCATGGTTGTTAAAAATCTTGTTGGGATAGGAGCTGCAAGTATTTCTAAGTTACGAATAAGACATTGTGATTTAGTGCGCTGATGTGTCCACTCTCGTTGTAGTCCACAGTAATATTCACATGGGTCTGAATATTTTAGTTCACGAAAATCGTTATCCTGTCAGGTCAGTAGGTGAGTCTTATATGTGCCGAACTCGATTTGTGCGTTATCACGCGAAGAGTCACTAATGTAGCTGCTTTGATTAGAGCTGCCTTCATCACTTGCATTCGGGTCCTTCGAATGTTTCCTTTGCTTGACATAGCTGATGATGTTTACTTGTCTTTAAATGGAACGAAATCATCCTTATATAATGAAAATAATAGAATCAAAATAGTATGTAATGCACAACATCACTAAGACGTGGAATTTATGCACTACTAAAAAACTACTTAAATTCGTTCACGAAAACCGACCGAAATCGGTCGGAAATTGAAAAAAACGACCGATTTCCAACCGCTTTTAATTAGTCGGAAAAATGATGGTCGCTAACGTGTTGCGACCGAAATCGGTCGGTTTATTCAAAGCGTTGACTGACTGTCAAACTTTATTTACCGACCGAAATCGATCGGTATTAATTAATTTTTTTTAATTTAATTTTCAAATACCGACCGAAATCGGTCGGAATTTTAAATAAATAATAATTTTATTTAAATATATAATTATTTGTAAATTGTAATAAATTGTTAATTTATTTAAATAAATAAATTTAAATTCATAATTTCCGACCGAATTTGGTCGGAAATTTCAAAAATCTGGAGATTTCATTTGAAATTTCCGACCGAATTCGGTCAGAAATTTTGAATTTCTGGGCAAAAAAATGATATTTTCGACCGATTTCGGTCGGTTTTCTAGGTAAAAACTGGGCAGAAAATGCCTGCTTTTAAGCTACACCACCTGCCAATTACAACCAATATCCATCCTATAATGGCAGCATTGTAATGCTGCCATTCAACCATAATTAATCATCAACAACAACAACAACAATTATCTAACAACAACAACAATTATCTAACAACAACAACAACAATTAACCAACAACGCTAATAACAGCCACAACAACAAGGCTAATAACAACAACAACGCCAATCACAACAACAACTATACAAATATTCAATAACAAAATAATATCAACAATACAATCATCATTAAAAACTAGTCTCAACTAAATATTGACAAGTTCAATACTTTGTTTAGCAATACANATATATATCGAATATAGCTTATATACTATACACTTAGTATATATACTATACACTTATTTATTTAAAAGCTATTTATATAAAGGTTGACAAAAATGACCGACTTCGGTCGGTAATATTATTAAATTTATATTTTAATTATTTTAAAATTATTTTTCCGACCGAACTCGGTCCAAAAATATTTAATTATAACTTATTCCGGTTGGTAAATTAAATATATATAATTTTTGTTATATTAAAAACCAGTTGCCTTGGGCGGAAAATCATAATTTCAAATACAAGTTATAATTATAATTTCAAATACAAGTTATAATGAAAAATTTTAATAAAAAATTATTTTTATAGATTATATGACCAATTTCCAACTGAAATCGGTCGGAATTTTTATTTTTTTGATGTGGGACCACTATTTCCGTTGTCAGAAATATTTTCTTTGGCTTTTGCGACAAATTTACTTAATTTCCTATCGAAGTCGGTCGGAACCGACTTCGGTCGGTATGCCTTGGATGAAATATGCCAGTTTTCTAGTAGTGATATGCGTCTATTATGGTTATTAAAACGTATCATCATCTGACATCTCGCTGCCAGGATCCTAATAAGACGTGGCGACGTAATTATCATTACTAAATTGAGCTCGGATGTAATGCATTTTCATACGGTTGTTCTCCTTACAATTACGGTTCAAGGCCATATTAAATTGTTGAGCTGTACTACGCGATATTGATCTAGCACGGCTCCTTGGCCGTTTAAGCCCATATGCTTGCAACTCTTGTTCTAGTCCTGTAGCCTTATTAACACACCAGCGCCACTCACATATTATTTGATTGTTATAACTTTGATTATAACACTCCTTTAGGTTATTCGAGTATTCAAACTCTTCTTGCAATGCCTAAGTCCTACCCATTTCTCTAAACATGTCTCCAGGATATAACAAAATTTTTCGGTTTAATTAAAAGAATTGGTTCCACTCTGATATAACTAATGGATTGCAATGTTTTTTTGGTATACATCAATCACTATTTATACTACACATATTTCTTTAAATCGTACTTACTAAAAATATAGTGTTTATTAGACAAGAAATCATAATAGTACAAGTACATAATTACATTTATGGACAATACAAGACAAGGCACGCCTCTGATTAGTATATTTTCTGACGCACCTACGAGAATCTTAGTACTACAACATTGTGACTCAGTTTTTCTGTATGACAAGACAAGGCCCGCCATTAATTTGTACATCTTCTGACATACCTACGAGAATCTTCCTACCATTACGTAGCGCATATTATACATGCGCTATACATATAATACCATAGGAATCTTGGCCATCATAACTACAACTCAAATCCCATTCAACAATTTATTCTCACTCGCCTTTCTAAAATGTGTAGGAAACTTACCTTTAACGGTTGATATAAGAAAAACCAATAGGGCGAAAGTAGCTCAAAAATTCATATGATATTAGTGAGAAAGTGAACAGTATCAAACCCTATCTTAAAATAAATATGCTAGGTTGTTATACTGATATGTAGGATGATAAGTGATATGGTATTATTCGTCTCTTAGTGACAATTATAGGCTAAATTATGATGCTCTTAGCCCGGATGAATATGTACATGATGATGACAGAGACGACGACGTAGATGAGGATGCAGTAGTTTCTGACAGTGAGGATGAAAAATAAGTGGAAATACATTGCGATAAATTTAATCTTGTATGTTTGTAATTGTTTTCATGAAAAAATAAACAATCGTGTTTTATTGTGTCATTTGTAATGCAAACACCTTTACTTAACATCTCACACAATAAATATTATTATAGAGTTTACAAACTCAAAAATATATATTTCATACAAATAACACACTAATAATATGCCTCTGAAATACCAGGCATTGGAGGAACTACCACCATGGCTTAAAATGCCATCTTAACCAGTTAGTGGATACTTTTGCCGATCGTGTACTGTTTGCGCACACAGTCCATATTTTTGGCTGTATGTGCTATTCACAATATCCATCTGATTGTGAATCCGAGTTGCTTTTGCACTCCGTTTTGATATAAAAACGCTTTGTTATAGACTATCACAAAATAATTTCGGTGGCCAATAAGCCGCATCACCTAGTGGTTCGAAATACCAACTATAGGTTCTTGCATATGATTCGACACTATACTCTGCACTTATGTACCTCGTGGCCGAAAACCCAACGTGCTAGAAATACTTCTATGTATGAGAACATGGCATGTGGTAAGTTGTCCATTTGTTACATGAATATCTCCGTGTTCGCTCACAAATTGCGTGGAGGTTATTTCCACGTCCTTGATGCAAACTAGTTCAAACTTTAAAAATATAACCATATTGCTTTATTGAACATATGTATCCATTGTACCCTCTTTTTATACCTCTCAGAACATTTAACCGGATTTGGCATATGTTTATGCCCCTTTTAACCATAATTGATGCATTGCACGATCTACTCACGAACCGCTCTGCAAGTTGTTTGAATGACATTCTAACCATCGCACTAACTGGCATTCCTCGAGCAGATTTCAACAACTCATTAAAGGGCTCTAACATATTTGTTGTTAGTATTCCCCATCTTCTACCACAATCCTTATACAATGCCCATTTATCCACATCTTGTCACACCTCATTTTTTCCGAGTATTATGGAAAGAAAGGAGTTTTTCCAATTAAAGTGACATTATCTGAACAGGGATTCATTTTATTTGATTTAGGAATCGTCACTTGGAATTATTTATTACGATGTTCCAAGTCACCAATTTTATTAAAAATTCCAATCAAGGAAGTTTTGACTTCGAATAATGGTCTGCAAAACACAGAAGATCGGGTAAAGCATTCTGTTAATCCGGAAGAAGTATAAGGCACTCTCGAGTTTCGTTGTTTTAGTACAGTCGCTTTAACAAATTTTACACTTGGCTTAATTATCCGAATTATTACATGCTCTAAAGTCTTTTGTGCATTTTCG